ATTGTTAATAAAACTCGCAATAAGTTTTTATAACCAGAAAAGGAAAAGACAGTTTTTGAGATATCGATCTGAAATTTTGCACACGTCCTTTTCTACCAAATGAGCTGCTCATTTGTCGGAATTGCCGATATCGGATCACTATAGCATATAGCTGCCGTACAACCTGAGGGATCAAAATCATGGTCTTATAATAAAAACTTTTATACTTGGTAAGATATCTTCACGAAATTTTACATAGATTATTGTCTAAAGTTATGGTATAATCCACAGGGAAATTGTTCAGATCCGACCACTATAGCATATAGCTGTCATACAAAGTGAGGGATCAAAATCATATTCTTATATAGAAAACTTTTATTTTTGGTAAGATATCTTCACGAAATTTTACATAGAGTATTATCAAAACCAACGGTACAATTTACGAAGAAATCGTTTGCATCCGACAACTATAGCATATAGCTGTCATACAAAATGTACAAACAAAATCTTTGTCTTATATTAAAACTTTTATATTTGACTTGATATCTTTACGAAATTTTACATAGATTATTACCAAAAGCAACGGTACAATTTACGAAGAAATCGTTTGCATCCGACAACTATAGCATATAGCTGCCATACAAAATGTACAAACAAAATCAAGTCTTTATACCAAAAACTTTTACATTCGTAGATATTTCTGCACAAAATTCGAGATAGAGTACGTCCAAAATAACTGTACAAATTCTACAAACAAATTGTTCAGATCCGACCACTATAGCATATAGCTTCCATACATACTGAACGATGAAAATTTAATTGTATGGAATGTGCTGTATTTCTGAGGGTTTATATAACTTTTTTTGTTACAATAAAATTTTTAATAAATAAATTTATATTTGCTGCCTGATTACAAAAACCCGAAGTAGTAATTTTACTACTTTGACAGAATGTGTAGCGCTCCAATCCGTCGACTATAATTCCATAATTTACATTGTTCATCTACTGCCTTATTAATGTCATCATTTCTAAAGTACACAATACTTAAATTAAATTGTTATGCTAATGACAACTAACATCAACGATACAAAACGTTGTGGCATCGACACCTAACGCATTGTGGGAAATATCATTTACTTCAAGTTCGTTTCATAAGTCTTTTGTTTACAAGTTCAGTAGATGGCAGCTTAGTTTGTAATGAATTCTAAGGCGAAAGAGTATAGTATAGCTAAGTAATTATTATACTCTAATTGTCTACTTAAAGGGTACTATTTGTAATTTTTTAGACATTTTTTTTAAATATTTTTTTTTTTGTTTTTATAAAAGAAACTATATAAACTCTTGAAAGAGTATTTCTGAACGCCCACGACGTAAATATATTTTTTTAATACTTCTTTTATAGGAATATGTATGCACTTATGCTGATGTAATGAGCGTCAAGGAAATACAGACGTCTGCGTATGTATGTGTATGCACATATTATTGCCGCTTACACTTATGCTAAAAGTTTGGCCGCGCTTCTCATACTTTTAGTGTCGCTCAACTAGCTCTGAACCGCAAATGACTATTTATGAAAGTGATATGATATCAGAAATACAATAAGAAACTTAATATTCCCTTGCAGGGGACGGCAACTATTAAAACAAAGTTCACAAGGTCATACCCGAGATCGGAAACTACTATTCATCATGTAGTAGGTGTCGCTTAATACACTCATTGTAGTTGAGCTTACTTGCATTTTACCGTTGGCAAAACTGGTCTTGTGCATGCAATCGAATTACTACACTACCGTCAACTTCTTTCAATAGTTTAGTAAGCGAAAATGCGTCAAGTCATGCAACTGTTGCACAAACTGCAGCTTTAATTGAAAAATATGTCAAAGAAAGAAATATATGTAGGTCTATTCAAGGTTTTAAGCCGCTGCTGAGTACATGAGAGCAGCCATGTGGGTAAATAGTATGCGATTCATGTGAAAATAATTGTATTCCAATATTTAATAATAAAAAAATATTTTTCTAAATACACATTCGGTGAAAAAAATCCGTATATGCAGGATTGTACAGAAAAAACCTGGACTGGGAAGAATATATATGTAGTATGAGCAAATTGTTTGAGAAAAAATCTACAAGAATTTGTTGTAGAGCACCATGCCACCTGAGAATTTCGGGATGTTGTGGGAGCGAAACTCGATCTCTCACCTCTCCCGATTCTTCCGTGAATGAGTGGTCGAAGTAGAAAAAATATTATTCCTGCATATGTAAAATTTAGTGGAACTCTAATAACATAGCTTGATACTTTTCTAAGCCTTCGATCTAATAAAAAACGCAACGTCTTTGGTATTTAAACAATATATGTAGGTAATGTATGTGTATGTGTATATGTAATTAAGAGGAAAATAATAAAATTGAATTTAAAAATATAATTTATAGCAACTATTACAATAAAATATCATTGCTCACGATCATTGTCTGGAATTGCGTATTTTGCAGAAATCCACATCACTCCGTTTTGATAAAGAGATTTTAGCACGTTTTGCAACACTTTATATTTCAGCTATTACAACACTTCATAACATATGTGACACTTCAAAGGCCGAACAGCTGATTTTAACCAAAATATAAAGCACGCCGGTGACTAATGTGCATTTGGTATTAAATAAATCGTATTTTAAATAAAATATAAAATTTAAGATAAATAATAAGTAACGCAACAACAAAATGGAAGTTGAATTTAGTAAAGAAAACTTCTTACTGCCTGAAATTAAATACGAATGTAAGTACCAGCAAAGCAAGTTATTAGCCACTACTCCGCATACTGATACAAATTTGCATTTGCCTTTATTTTCGTTTTAGATTTGGATCACACCGCCGATGTGCAGTAAGTGAATAACATTAATTAATATACATATGCATGTGGGTTAACAATCTTTTGTACATTTGCAGGTTGCACGCCTGGGGAAATACATTGCAGGAAGCTTTCGAACAATGTGGCATGGCAATGTTCGGCTACATGACTGAGCTAGATTATGTATCCGTGCAACAGTGTTTTCAAATCGAAGCTAAAGGTGATGATGTAGAAGGTTTATTGTTCCATTTTTTGGACGAATTACTCTTTCTCTTTTCCGCTGAGCCTAATTTGATTTGCAAAAAATTAGAAATCACCAAATTTGATTTGGAAACATTTGAAATCGAATGTCGGTGCTATGGTGAACCGTTTGAAATTGGCAAACATCCACAAGGTACCGAAGTCAAAGCCATCACATACTCTGCAATGCAAGTGATACAGGAACCCGAACGAAGTCACTATGAAGTGTTTGTTATAATCGATATTTGATGGCGTTATAAATTAAAACAGTGTTCGGTTCAATCCTCTAATTTTTTTCTTGCGTAAAGCATATATGTACATACTTTAAAAGCATGAAATGCAATTATTCTCCATTATGACGAAATGTCGCAACATACATTTACTTTTTCCATAGTGTTAAGTATGTAAAGTATTGTATTCATCATTTTCAATACTTTTTAATAGAAATCGGAGCAGGTTTATTGCACAAAATGCTAATAAAAATGTGAATCATGAAAAATGTATGAAATTAGTGAACTTTTAATAACCTTTTATTTTATTGTTTGATATACATACATATCAATATGGTGTATGTACATAGACAAATATAAAAAAGTGAAATATATTTTTGTATATAATTTCGCTTTTAAAGTGTAGATGAATATGAAACCTGTATAAATTCTGCGGAAAATAATACGTGAATACAAGTATGTGTCAACGCACAATATAAATATCTATGGAAGCTCTACATTTGGCTTCGTTGTTTCTCGATTTCACAACGGAAATTATCTAAATTAGTGACTTCTAATAAAAGGCATTAGCGTGCACATTTCTTTATGAAACACTTTCAAAATATTAGCTAAAGCCAATTTGTGCAAAGATTGGGTACAAATTTTAATTTTGAGTTGATACAATTTGACATTGATTGACATTTGGAAAACCTTTCAATTTTTTTATTTAATGCATAATATCGTCTTATACTTAAAATTTCTGTTGACGCCATACATTTCAATTTATTTAAAATTGTTTCAACTTTCATTTCTCGGGGGATTCGGGGATTTTTTCATGCTCGTAAATCTCGTAAAAATTGCTAAATCTATTACTATAGTGTTCCTTTCTTTCTCACATATTCGCAACAGCTGATCATCTCACAACTTTATGTTGTCATTATCTCGATTTCTTTTGGTGATATATTCGTAAATATTTACATTTGTGCACTAGGTGTTTTTGACAGTATCAGAAGATGTTTAATCTAGTTATATTATTAATCATTTAACATAAAACTAATAGTAATTACAATTAAACGTATCAAATTTCACTAATATGTCAGTAAAAAATTTGGAAATTTTTTTTTTATAGATTTTCAATAAAAGATTTGTATAAAGGCATCCATTTCACCAACTAGCATTCTGCTCCTTGTTTTCCTTACTGCCTGTAATTGTTTAAACCAATGGTTTTACCACAATTTTAACTGGGAAAACAATTGCATTCATCTTGTATTCCCAAATTGATTATGTTTTGTTAACATTGCTTATATGACTTTATACGAATATTAGTTTTTTTTAGAGGTAGAGAACCACAGCTGTTCGTGACCGGTGTTGTTCGCTAATTCCCATCAACCATATATTGGGCACTCTCTTTAACACATGCACGGCAAATGAGATGCAACCGGTGAGCATTCGTCTTCTATCACGCTCCCACATCTTCAAGAAATAAATTAAATGAAGAAACATCCACAGCGATTTACATTTGACAAGTGTCAAAATGTAAACAACAACACAAGTGACAACAAAAACGAATTGTTTGTTGTTGCGGCTTTTCGAAAATTCATCGCAAATAGAGATACCCGTAAAAGCAGCGATATCAACGGGGCAACAACAGCAGCAGAGACAGAGCAAAGCAGCAAAGTGTGTGACATTTGAAAGAGCAGCACTAGTTTGGTGGCAGCGTGGTATGTGAATTGTGTGTAAAAAAAACTCAAGTAAAGTAATGAATATCAAAAAGTCAGGAAGTGTTTAGCGAAATTTAGCTAAAATCTAAACAGTACAGGAATTATAGGAGCGCACATAGTCCGCTGTGGAAGGGAATTGAGTGCATGCAAATTCCATTATAAAACCTGGCCCCTGTCGCCACCACCTTCCGGAAATGAGGAATGTAGACCAATTGGTCGTATCAGATAATACTAGTGAGTTAAATATAATAAAACAGGCATATTATTTAGAATATACTCAACCAAAAAGCAGTTTTTTAAAACGTTAAAACGTGCCAAGTGTTGAATTGGATAGTTGGGGCAGTGTAGGCACGAGGAAAATTTTGTAAAAGAACGAGAAATGTTGGACGGACGAAAGCGAAACGCGAAAAGTGAACAGAGCCCAACAACACCGATGAACGAACGAAAATTATTTCGTACGATTTTTGATGGAAGTTGTTGGTGGCTTTAGGTTTTGTTGGTACTTTGCAAGTGTAGTCTGACAATGACAGCGGCTGGCAACCCGCTTTAGTGCTATGTGGAATTCCAAATTTTCGTTATATTCCTCTACCAGCCCCACAGTAATAACAAAAAAAAAAAAAAAATTCACCTAACGACCAAAGCATCGGTTGTTCGATTTCGACGTCGACGCCAACGTCAACGTGTATGGTACGTAAAATACACACATTTGTGAATGTTGAGTGGAGAAGTGAGTGAACGGTAAGTCCACAAAGTGGAAGAGAAACAACCAGGCAGCCACGAAACGAATTCGTTGGATTTTATTCGTTTGCAGTGAAAACGCAGTTGAAACTCATAAGATTCTGAAAAATAGAAAATTGTAAACGAATTAGTAGTCAAGAAATATTAATATACATTTACTTAGTTTTCATAATTATATAAAAATAATGTAACAAGTGTTGTGCTTGTGGTAAAATCGGGTGTGTTTATGACATATGACTTGTATATATCCTCTTGAAATATGCATTGCACAAATGCGCCAACAAAGAAATTGATTTACGTTCCTTAACGTACATGTGAACAAACACGCATAGGTGCATGAGAACCAACCGCTGATTGCAACTTCGGTGGGTGGAACGGGAAGTTGCTGGTCACTCACTGCATGTCGTTGGATGCTCGCTTTCAAGACACTCGATCTTATAATGATTTTTTTAGCGGCTAAATTTCTTTGGTTTAGTGTAATTTAAGGAAAAAAATGTAGAATATAAATAATTTTTGGCTCGCCATAATCTGAGTACAATACTTATGTAAATACAGAGGACTAATAAGTACAACGTCGTCTGTTATCGCAGTAGCATCGGTTGCTGACGACATTTTCACAGTACATAACTGCAAAGGCAGCCAACAAGATTCTAGTAAAACGCAACCGAATATAGCCGAAGCGCACGGCCCATAAATTAGCAATTTGGCAGTTTAAGACATGGATAACGTTTAAGAACAAATGTGTTGTAAATAAAATTCATATGTACGTGAGCGAGTTGCATTGCTACTGAAATATTTGTGTTAAACTACGAACGTATAGACATACATACATACATATGTATGTATATTATCTTATGTTCACACGTGGCGGCACCCACATATTTGTTAGCTTTAAGCGTGATAATACCTTGACGCATGCTAATGCAACATATTCGGAAGTGGGTGATTGTAACCGTTGAATAGTTAGGGTTATCGTAATGAATTTTGTGATTTGTATGCTGTTTTTCAGCACTTATTTTTGTGATTGCTGCGTTGTCATACGTGTGCAGCTAAACTACCTCCACTCCAGTCTGTAGCAGCAACTATAGGTTCTATTGCGATATTTTAACAAAATAATCTGACCGAATAACGAAATCAAAAGAGTGCCAGAAAGATCGGGGACATAGAAAACTAATTCAAAAGCGCACACAGAGGTAGCACATATATAATATAAGGGAAAAAAGAAATACGCGATTGGCTCGAAATCGAATCAGAATCATCATCCATTATTGTTGGGCGACGTCGTTCGCAGTCGGCGTAGTCGTGATGCGCTGCTACCGCGTCATTTGAAGTTTCGCAGTTAGTGCCGCTGCCAACGTCGATTTAGACGTCTTGATTGCCTCACTCCGTTTCTTGCTTCGCATCATATTTCATATTTTCAGGAACCACTTTTCCCCACAAATAATTTATTTTTAACATTTAATACTTGAGATTTGGGCAAACAGTATTTTATATGAGCTATTCATTTATACCAATTTGGAAAATACATTTTAAGTTTTTACACCCTTTTCTATAATGATGAACTGTGATTATAATAATTACCAACATTACTCAGTTTGAATATGGTGAAATCAATTAATATACATACATAAATGTATGTCAAGAAATTTTAATAATTGCTAGTTAAAACAGTTTTTGAATTTGCATCTACTCTAATTGTTCTAATACAATATATTTATTCTTACATACATACATATGCACACTGTATTCATTGGGTATATGTATACAATGTAAATAAAACAAATAGAAGTGAAGTATTTGGTTCTAGTCTGCAAACAAATTTCTGAAAATATTTTATTAAAAAAGAACAGTGAAGTAAGAAACAACGAACGCAAACAAAAACTATCGCGACTTAAAATTTAAAATTATAATATATTCATATTTATGTGTTAATTTTCTTATGAAAATTTAATGTAATAAATATATACATAAGACCATCAGTTCAAAGTATTGAGTGCAACGAGAAAAAAATTCAGAAAAAAGGATTTATGCTGTCATTAAAAGAAGCAAATTATCAATACTCTGGAACACTAAGTGATTTGAATTTTGGAATACAATATTAGAAGGTAATTTAAAACCACTACTATTAATACCACTTAAATTTGCTATATATGTATGTACATATCGTCACGAAAAATGCAAAATAATATATCATAAAAAATTTTAAATTTTATGTTCTTTATTGATTACTATTCCCTACATCAAATACATATGTACATATGTATGTATACAATGTCTATTGCTATCAGATATAACTAAGTTACAAGAATTCTGCCGTTACAACAACAACACAAGTTACAAAGAAAAATGAACCATACAGTCATGCATGTTTTTTAACGCGGGTGTGGCTTCACTCACCACTATGATCTACAATTGCTATATACTTCGTCCTGCCATAAGTTCTGTTTATATCGTTTAAAAAATTTGCTATAATACATTTTTATTTAATTCGGCATATATTAAATAATCGATGTCTAAACTTGTATGCAAATTGATCACCTTTTGCTTTCACAAAAGGTCTCGAACGATTCGACCATTGATTAACAGCAAGCAAGCACAGTTTCTGTAGGTATTAACGACGCTGCTCGAACCTAAAATTTTTGAGACCCCAAATTTCTGTGTGGTAGCTGCAACTATTCATCCACAAATTGTAGTCCAATAGCTTCGAATTTGGACTTTCAGCTCCCCTTCGACTTGAGTATTGCTTAACTGCTTTACCACGCCTTCTAAAATATACTGTTGGTGTACCTTTTCCCCAGTTTTAACCATTTTTCAAAGAAGTGAAGAGGTGTAACATCTTTATGAAGGACCTTCCATCAAAGCATTACAACAGCTGGATCTTGACCACGTCCAACCTTTGGCATAATATTTTTGTCACTTTTGAATTTTTTGGGAAGATTTTGCCGTTTCGCTTACAGATATACAGATATCTACCAGATATATATTTTTCTTGCCATAATTTTATATTTTTTAAGGAGATTTTTGAAGTTAAATTGGTTCGAACCACGCGGGGACGTCCACTTCTCTTTCTACGGTCAACTGTAGACGTTTAGAAAACGATCAATTGTGCGCTAAACAAACATTTTCAAGATTAAAAAAAAAAAGAATTAGTCATCTGCAAAAACAAAAGGCATTGTTTGTAAAGTTGGCCTACACGCGATCATTATGGATATCATTTTTATTATTTTTAAGCTTTTGTTAAACGCATACCTTTAACGGTTGTAAAGAAAAGGGTAGCCAACAAGTTTATGCCGTCTGGCAGCATTCCTGCATGATCAGCAGTAGACTTGTTTGCAATTGAAACTTGTTAGCAAAATGAATTAGCTTATTCTTATACTACTTATGGAATTATTTAATAAATTTAAATTAAAAATCGTGCATTTTACATACATACATATGTACATATAGTATATTCAGACACACATATGTACATATATGTCTGAAAAATAAATTTATTTTCATATGTATGTACATACATATATGTATGTGTAAAGTCAGAAGCAATGGTTATTTGCTAACATTTCAGTCGAAATTACAAACTAAATTTTTCGTAAAACAATCGACCCAAAATGCAGTCAGGATATAAGGAAATCAGGTCAAAGACTCGATTTGCTTTAAATTTTAAAATCACGCTTCGAGAGTGTTATGACTTAATGTGATATTGCTTTCGCAATTTCTGCCTTGGTATTAATATTTTTGCTTTTCAGAACTTATTGCTTTTTTGGAACTTGTTTAGTTTCTTCACACATTTAGTTTAATTATTATATAAATTACTTAATTTATTTAGTTTTTTTTTTGTTTTTAGTTTTGTATATTTCTGACACGTCACAGTTTGATGACCCGTTAATACATATGGACACGTGTGTGTGTGTTAGTGCATACACATTTCTGCATAACTACGAGTTGACTTTGATTTTGTCCAGTGGGCAGCATTTTTCCTGGCTTCGGCCTCGTCGCTGATCTCGGTTTTCTACCTCGTCATCGTTTTTAGTAGCTTTGATACTTCCATAGCATTCGACTACGCTTCAGTTCTACATGTACGTATGTTTGGGTCATACTCATAACATATGTAGCTTCTATACACATGTATACAGGGTCTATCAATAAAAATGACATGAAGTTTTTTATTAGTCAGATAATTCTGAGCCATTTATAAACATTTGAACAAAATGTTGACCACGCCTCCGTTTGCATACCTCTACTCGTTTTCGCCAATTTTCGATGACCCGTTGCAGCATTTCGTCTATAGTGCGCTGAATATTGTCTTCGAGCTCCTGGAGCGTTGTTGTTTGTTTGCCAAAAACCTTTTAACATACGCCCAGGGAAAATAATCTAGAGACGCCTTTATCTGTTAAAATGCACGCTAGAAATAAGGTCCGTGAATACAGTCATACCACAGTCCGCACCAAACGCTTGCAACGTTTGTGGTGTTGCATTTGCGTTCCGTAAACCAGGTGAGGATTTGACTTACCCAATAGTCATAATTTTGTTTGTTGGCAAAACCATTAAGCCAGAAACGATGATTTTCGATGACAATTGTCGTTGACTACCAATCTAAAACTTCTAAACGAGGTAAGATCTCCAAAAATACCATAGAGCCTTTCGCCAAATAAAATCCGGGTCGATTTCGGTAACGAAGAACCGGCTGTTGTGGAAATTGTCGTTTACTCAAATAATTTCCTGCGCCCAATCGTCTTCAGCGCTTCAAATGGTCTAGTCTGTCGGCTTCAGTTCTTGTACTAACACAGTTATATATGGATCCAAAACCAACTAGTAAATTCGCCATTAGACATCGGAGAGAGACTCAACTGTGCAGAAGGGAGAAGGGTGTCAGATGAGTACGGTTCGCAAGACATGCAATAAGGTGGATAGTGTCATGCGGAGACTCATTGCACGCTGCAGCGATATTGTCTTCACTAATGGCTTTTCTTTGACGGGACGGAAAAGTGGCACAATACCTCGGAGACTATAATCATTTTCGTATGTTGAAAGCGCGCTCGGAAAGAGCAATATGACGACGCATACAGTAGCCACCGGAGAACTTGAATTTACGTAATAATCTTGGGACACCAACCGTTGTATCATAATGAAACGTGACTGAACACATTGATGAAATTTGACACAAATCCGTAAACGAACATGTCCTCCACGAGCTGTCAAAATTACGTCAACCCTATTGGTAGACGCTGTATGTTTATCCACATAGTCTTCCAGCGTCATCAGCTTTGTTACTTCGCCCTGCAGACTTGATTTGGTTTACTCATTCGAGAATTTATTGTTAATGGTTGTTGTTGCTACACCTCATGTCGTAATATTAGCCAGTTAAACTATTATATGGCGTTGCCATTGCCGTTGCTGTAATACCTAGTATGTACATACATGTGTATACATATATAATTGTTTTTAACCTTGCTTTATCTGCTTGGTTCGCTATGGTTTTCAATTTATTTTGGCTCTGTCTTGTGTTAATGCGTTATATGCAGTGTCTTCTGCTTGCCGTAAGCGTCCAAAGTCGGTCGACAAATTTTTTTTTTTTTTGCTAAGTAGTTGCATACCTGTATATTTACCACTTAAGTGTGATAAATATGATAACTGCAATCGTTAATGTAATAAGTTGGCTGAAGCTACACCTAAAAAACCAAAAGTTACAATTCCAGAATTTGAGTATGAAGCTCGCTGACTTTAGAAGCATCTCAAATGCGCGCATACTTTACGTTATTAATAGTAAATCTTTCATACAAGCTTTGCACTAATTCAAGTGACATTGATCGATATGTTGGCTTTCGTCATCGAACAACTGAAAAGCGCTCAATCTGTGCGTCTCTGTGCCGATGGTATGTGACCATAATTAAGTATCATTAATGTCATTGAACTCTTATAATGTTCGTCGTTGTTCCAGTGTGGCGAAACTGGTTCTGGAAAAAATAATCGTTATGTGCGAATCGCGTCTGCACACCGTTAATTTTTCGCAATTGAACATACATAAATCGTAAGATTTTAGAATAAAAAAAAATTCGCACAGTGGCTTGTTGCATCGTTACCACATTTTCATTTGCACATATTGCTTACCATTTATCTTCTGTATACATACATACCTTACATATGTACATATGTGAATATGTATTTCCGTTATGAGTGTTTCATACGATTAATATTGAATTTACTTTTATTATTTTATATAAAAATATACATATATAAACCAAGTAATGCTAGTTCCGCAAAACGAAACAATAAAATTAAAAGTGAAATAAGAACATAAAATAATAAAGAACAAGAAACAATGTTAACTTCGGCAGCACCGAAACCATAATACCCTTCACAGGTGCATTTCTTATAGCATAAATGGTTCTAAAAAGATATTTTTCTTGATTTTTATCGTTCAGTTTGTATGGCAGCTATATGCTATAGTAGTCCGATTCGAACAAAATTTTACGAGTTTATAGCGTTGTTTTGGACAATAGTTTATGGCAAATTTCGTGAAGATAGCTCGTCAAACGAAAAAGTTTTCCATACAGGCGCTAAATTCTGATCGTTCAGTTTGTATGGCAGCTATATGCTATAGTAGTCCGATTCGAACAAAATTTTACTAGTTTATAGCGTTGCTTTGGACAATAGTTTAGGGTAAATTTCGTGAAGATAACTCGTCAAACGAAAAATTTTTCCATATAGGCGCTTGATTCTGCTCGTTCAGTTTGTATGGCAGCTATATGCTATA